TTTTAGGATCACATGTTCTAACTAAGCCAATTATTCTTCAAGCTTGGCCTTCATGCTAACAGTATCAGCATTTCCTGGGCATTTTTAAGAAATTCAAATTCATAGAGGAGTCCTGGTGTGGCGTTGTGCATTAATGCACTGGACTGCAAAGTTGGTTTGAACAGCAAGGTCAGTGGTTTGAACAGTAGGCTCACCAAGTTACTCCTTGGAAGCCCTATTGGTCAGAACCAACTTGACAGCATTTAACAACAACAACAACAACAAAATTCATAGATGCCCCATAGAGGTAATGAATCAAAATATCTGAGTGTAGGGTTTCTATGCCTGTGTTTTAACAAGCTCTCCTGGTGGATTTATGCATCTGCTAAATTTGTGAACTACTAAGACAAGATGACCAAACTTCGTCTCTCATACTTTGGACATATTGTCAGAAGGGAAAGTCGCTGGAGAAGAATATCATGTTTGGTAAGGTGGAGGGTCAGAGAAAAAGAGGAAGACCCCCAACGAGATGGATTGGCCAAATGGCAGCATCGATGGACTCAAGTGTGGCAACAGCAGTGAGACTGGCCCAGGATTAGGCAGTGTTTCATTCTGCTGTAAAGAAGGTCGCTATGAGTCGGTACCAACTCTATGACACCTAACAAGAACAAGAGAGGGACAACAAATACCCACAGTTTACTAGGCCACTCCCCCTCTGAGCAAAATTTTCTAAGACTCCAAGTCCCAGGTGCCACAATGGTAGAAAAAGTCAAATATCTTTATCACTCAGCTCAGGTTCACATTAAGAAAGATGAAACTAGGAAGAAAGAAAGAAAGAAGCAAAAAAAAAAAACCACTTAGGTCTCAGGGGAAAACGTCATGCATAAAAAGACCAGTAGAATTATAAGTGAAAAAGGTTGAAGTTGGTGATCATCTTTGATAGCTATCCATACAACAAAAACAGCTGTGGTGAGTTTTCTCATCTTGGATAAGGAAAGAGGGAAATATTTTATGGAAATTCAGACATAATATTATGTTTTTCATATTGAGTTTGAAAAGCAAGACTGTTGATTCTAATAAGGAAGGATGTTAACTTTCCTGAAAATGAGCAGATTAGCAAAGCCCAAATCAAGTTTATATAAATATATTATGACAACGAGACATTTAAGGAAAATCATTAAATGGGGGAAATGCTAAGATTTTATGTTTATATAAATATTCAGTAAAACAACTTTGAAATACTTCTTTAAATAGTCCCTGATGATACTGTGAGAGACTAAGCCTTGGACAGATATGCTTTCAGCATAATTGTTACTTTTTTCTCAATGTTTCTATATGCCTTTTATGAATATATATAGATTTTTAGCTATGAGGCAGCAGTGTGAATTAAAAAGGACAAAAGTTTGGGGTTTGAATCTCAATTGTATATTAGAATACTCTGAGTCTTATTTTTTTTTCATGAAAAATGAAGATTGAAATGCTTAACTCATAGTAGTTAAAAATGCTGTATGTATTAAATATGGTATTATTTTGTAAGGGTTTCTGGCATGACGTCTGTCTCATAAAAGTGAACACTCAACATTTTTTT